TACCAAGCCCTCAACAACATCATTGTGAAGGACCGATATCCCATTCCATTGATAGAAGAATTGTTTGACAAGTTGGGCCAGGCCCTCTTCTTCTCCAAACTGGATCTCAAGTCTGGGTACCACCAGATCCGAGTCCACCTAGAAGATATAAATAAGACGGCTTTTTAGACCTCGGATGGGCACTACAAATTTGTGGTTATGACATTTGGTTTAACCAATGCACCATCTACCATTCAACGGTTCATGAATGACATTTTCAGACCGTATTTGTGACGCTATATATTGGTTTTCTTCAACGATATACTTATCTACAGCCCCACCTGGGCCTCACACCTGACACACTTGTGTCGCACTCTGGACCTACTTAGGCAGCACTCCTTGTTTGCCAAGCCCACTAAATGTTCCTTTGGACAGACCCATATTCATTACCTTGGGCATATAATAACATGTGGAAAAGTTTGTACAGACCCGGACAAGTTTTTCAAGCATGGTCAACAAAAGTCACTTAGAGGGTTCCTTGGACTGACTGGTTACTACAGATGTTTCATAGCCGGTTATGGTATGTTGCCCGCACCTCTCACTAAGTTGTTGAAGAAACAATCCTTTACATGGGACGAGGCAGCAAAAGGGGCCTTCCAATCTCTTAAGAAGGCAGTCACATCGCCTCTCACCTTGGCTCTTCCAGATTTCAATAAAGAATTTGTGGTGGAAACTGATGCTTCAGGGAAGGGGATTGGTGCAGCCTTAATGCAGAATGAGCAACCATTGGCTTTCTTCAGTCGAGCTCTATCAGCCCAGGCCCAAGCCAAGTCCACATATGAGAAAGTGTTGATGGCGATTACCTTAGCAGTACACAAATGGAGGGCGTACCTTCTGGGAAGGAGATTTACGATGCAAACCGATCACTGAAGCATTAAACATTTATTGGAGCAGGGGATTCTCAGCCCAGAACAGCAAAAATGGGCCTACAAACTTCTGAGTTACGATTTTCATATTGAATATAAACCTGGGCCTTCAAATGCAGTTGCAGATGCACTATCCAGGGTAGAAGATTTCCAGCGGATGGGCCTGTCTAAACCCAATTACCCCTTGTATGACCTCATCCAGCAGGAGGCACAATCAGATCCAAAACTCAGCCAGATCCGATCCCAATGGAGCAAGGGTCCCACTTTAGTGCCAGGGTATTCCATAACTGGTACTACACTCTTCTATAAAGGTCGTGTGGTAGTAGCCAGCAAATCAGAGTATCAGAAGGAAGAGCTATTTCATGACTCAGAACCTACAAGAGGATAGTGAGCCATTACTACTGGAGGGGAATGAAACGTATGGTTTAGAGTTATGTGGCCTGTTGTGACATATGCCAGCAGCACAAGTATAGTATCCAGTCTCCTGCAGGTCTACTTCAGCCCTTACCCATACCAGAACAAGTATGGTAAGACATTACCATAGATTTTATTACTGGGTTGCCTAAATCAGCAGGGAAGTCGGTGATCCTGGTGATTGTGGACCGCCTGAGCAAATATGCTCATTTCTTGGCGCTACCACAGCCGTACACAGCTTCCACAATGGCTCAAGCTTATGTCCAAGAGGTAGCCAAATTGCACAGCACTCCGAACTCTATCTTGACCAACAGAGACCCCCTCTTTACGAGCAAATTCTGGGATTCTTATTTTTCTGCTCAAGGAGTAAATATGCTTCACACCACCAGCTACCACCCCCATACAGATGGGCAGTCCAAGGTGGTCAATCGTTGCCTTGAAACTTACTTGCGTTGTTTCATCAGAGAGAAGCCCAAACAGTAGGCTTACTGGCTTCCATGGGCTGAATATTGGTATAACACCACATACCAAGCTTCAGCAGGGACCAGTCCATTTAAAATAGTTTATGGGAGAAATCCTCCAGCTGTGCTTCCTTACGAGAAGGGGACTTCTACAGTGGCTGAGGTAGAAGCCCAGTTATTGGATAGAGATGAGATTTTGAGATCCCTCAAGCTGCATTTGCAAAAAGCCCAACAGCGCATGAAGTTAGCCTATGATCACAATCATCGAGAGCTTGAATTTGCAGTGGGGGATTGGGGCTACTTAAGACTCCAGCCTTACCAACAAGCTTCGGTAGCCCGACAGGTTTGCCAGAAGCTAGCTCCTAAGTATTTTGGCCCATTCATGGTGATTGAACGAGTAGGGCAAGTAGCTTACAAACTGGAGCTTCCTATTTCCTCGAAATTACACCTAGTTTTTCATGTCAGCATGCTGAAACCATGTCTAAGTCCTACCACTAAGCAAGGTTCAAAGTATCGATACAATACGAGTTTCGGTCGTATCGTATCAGTACTTAGAAACGGCCGGAACTTTATTTTTTTTAGTTTTTTTTCACATTTTGTTTTTTTGGGAAGCTTTTAACATGCTTTTTATTATTAAAAAAATTGGGGGTCCTAAACACCTGGAAACAGGCGTTTCAAAAGATACGATACGATACGCCTCATATCGGGCATATCGTATCGATACTTTGAACCATGCCACTAAGGTCAGCCCAACCCTCCCACAGTTCACTGAAGACGGGGACATATTGATTGAGCCACAACAAATCAGAAATATAAGGTGGGTCAAAATGGGCAAGAAGTTACACAAGCAGGCCCTGGTCGTGTGGAAGAACTTGCCACCAGAAGATGCCACATGGGAGGGCTATGACAAACTGAAAGACCAATATCCTCACACCAACCTTGAGGACAAGGTGTTTCTTGAAGAGGGTAGGACTGATAGGCCCTCAACTACCCATTCGGGCCCATCACAGGAGACCCAGGCCCATGACATGCAGCAGCCAGGCCAAGCACGAGAGAAGCACTCGATCTCCCATGTGCAACCGCCACTGAGGTTTGTTTACGTGAGGGGGCCACGTCCCTCCAGTTAGTTATCCATCTCAGTCAAGCCATGTGCAGGAGAGGCTGAAGAGAGAGTATAAGTATTGTATTACCTCACCGATTCTGGGCATGAAAAATAAAACCCTACTGATCTCCTCCATCTCTCCTCCTCTCTTCTTCCTTTCTCTTCTTCTTCTCCTCTACCCTACTCTGTTTTCAGGAGGGTGACCTCCCTCGAACCAGCTCAGGTTTTCAGAATATCGAAGTGATCTTATCAGCATGTTAGTATAAAAATGTCTTTAACAAAAACAAGAAGGGAAATAATAAAACATGTGCCATGCCTCATGATTGCTAATGGCCTTGTTGCTGGGTTGCTAGAACCAGTTAATCCATAGCCTATCCACTTACGTGGAATGCCTTCTCTAGTTGGCTTCCTGAGAGACTGAGAAAAGCATCCACCAAAATACAAACCAGGCCGCAAGTGTCAAGCCTCAACAATCAAAAACTGACCAGCCTCCCACTTACCAAAACATACACCTTTCCATCCTTTCTTCCACCCTCTTGGAGCTCCTAGGATTCCCCTCACCTACTAGTTCAGTGGTCCTTCAAACCCTACCCAAGCATCTTGTAAACCTTCTTAACAAAGATCAACTTCTTCACCCCAACTACATGATCTTCCCGCAGTTCACCCATTATCCAACTAGTACTTCATTGGTCCCCCCCCCAAACCAGTGTTGCATGGGCTCTGCTAGATAGACGACATCTCCAACACAAACATGCATTGGAATTGGATTCTGACACTCTATGGATCCTTGAGGGACACTTTACATAACATTTCCACTTTTATCTCCCAACTTATTTGACATAAATGAGTAGCTAATGTACATGATGAATGTCATTTTTGTATCAAATGATATCATTATATCAAATATTACGTGGGGGCATTTGATAACGGATGAAGTGTCTGAACTGAATGATTTATTGCTTTGTCTTTTAGTGGGTAAAATTATCAAATAATAAAATATTTGAGGAATGAGGGTGGTATTGTAAGCTTTAGCCAATAAGGAGCTCACAACCTCGGCTGTTATCAAACAGCCCCTTAGACCTTAGTTAAAAGGTAACATTATAGACTTCTTTTATGTAGGTATATAATGTTAGAATTCAAAAATATGAACTATTTCTATAGTATAAACTTTCAATAAACATGTCCTCAGTCCACGCTTTATCATCTTACCAAATCATAGTCTTGGAGACATGTCAGATTCTAAATCCTGTCTCCATGCAAAAATTGCCCCTGATACAAGCATTTTGGCATTCCCACTACAATAACAAACACTTCCCCTTTTATTAGATCATTATTACAAGACTAATCAATTCCATTTTTTACCTCAGAAAGAAAGACAGCTCAACACAAATTTGCATGTTTTCTCCTTGTCCAATTCAATCATTTGTAACTGTAACACGACTTGGTTACACAAAGATATTCTGTACATAAGGATTTTTTCCACGTTGTCATTCTTTTTTTTCACAATAATGAAATACCTTAAAACCAATAAAGGAAAAGAGAAACCTACTGGCCATAACAATCCCTTCATTTCAATTATGTATCAAGAACCACTCCTAACATATAATAAATTCCCTAACCATATCAATGCATTACAATTGCGATGTAATGATTTTATCCAAGCACCATTTTGAATGTCACTTCATTCATTCTGCAGTCATCAACGCCTGCCTTCGAATGCTAATAATAACTTTTTTAACCTTTTTCTCTTCTTTGGCCAACTTCAGGGTCATGCTTTTTACCGAACAAGCTCAATGTTTGCTCTCAACAATTTTCTTTCGGCACTCTGTGCTTCCCCAGCGGCCATTCCATAACAGATAATATCACAGATCGAAAATAGAACACATGAAATTAACTCTAAACCTCACATTCCAAGATGCGCGAGGCACCTTAAAGAGCCTAAACTAATCTATTGTTGGATGACAAGTTGTACCTAAAATATTTACTACATTTTACTAAAGCCTACAGAACCCTCAAATTTCCAAAACACAGAAGCGTCTCGCACAAACGCATGAAGTAAGAGGAAAGAAGAACTTTCGTAGAAACAACACGAACGATAGAATGAGAAAAAGCTCGAACCTTTCTTCCCGGGCAGTTCCTTTCCATCCTTGACGTAGAACTCTCGAATGTCCACCACGACCTTCCCTTGCCAACTCCTCACTGAAACTCTCCTATTCTTCGAAATCTTCACCAAAGGACAAAGGAAAAATGAAGAGGGAATACAAAAGAAGAAGCTCTATAAATGTAGCAAATAAGAGAAATAGTAATAGACCTCGCAAACGACGATGCCATCGGAATCGTCGGAACCCTTCTTGAAGGTCTTCTTGGCCGGCCCCGCCCCATCGGAATCTCCATCAGAAGCGTTCTCCTCTTCCTTCCTCTTCCACCTTCTCGACATTTCTTCTCTGCTTCTTTTTACGGCTCCCTTCCGAAGTCCGAACCAGTTTCAATTCAAATGAAACCCTGTGAAGAAATGTGAAGTGAGAGAGAGGGAGAGGGGGCACTACAATCAATATACAATCCATATGGCTTTAGGATCGGGGCGAGACTCGATAGAGAGCGCGCGGTCGAGGCAGAGATCGTATAGACGTCTAAATCGGGCCGTGCTAGATCGGCACGGCATAGTCCGCGCGTGATCCGTGCAAAGTGCGGGTCGGGTTGTATTTCTCTCTTTTAAGATATTTTGGGGTTCGATTGCGGTTCGAACCCGTGTGGGCCCATGTTGTATATGTAGTGTCGTGTCACGGGCTGGGTTAGTCTGTGGGCCGAATTTTGGGCCAAATCAGGCCGCAGATCAGGTCAAGTTATGTTTTTTAAAAATTTTGAAAAAAATAATGAAAATTTAACATGAATTAAAAAATATTTAAATTTTATTTTATATGAATTTTGATGTATACAATTATTTATACATGCAATGATAAAGTAAATAATATAATAAATTAAAAATAAAATTATATATATTAATATATTATATATAGATATTATATAATAGGAAAAATCCTACTTTAGTACTTTGAAATTTGGGGGTAGTGTCATGTTAGTACCCAAACTTTCAAACGTGTTACTGTAGTACCTAAACTTTCAAAAACTGTTAAATTGGTCCCTACCATTAAACAACGGTCAGTTATCTATTGAAAATGTCAAAATTAAATATTCATTATCTTTTACCAGTATTTATTCTTTGCTCTCGGTGGCCAGTTGTCATATTAGATAATTGTCTCCAATATTAAAGAGAATGATACAAGAATGCTCCTTGAGTTATCGAAAGGGTAGAGATAATAAGGAGAGGCTGAATCGGATTCCATGACCGTCACCATAGACCTCATGAAAGTATCATCTCCAAAGCCCAAGCCCGAGTTGCGATAATCATGAATTCATATCATATAGATCTGCTGAATTCAGGCCCAACTGAGGTGGCTATTTCCCTTTGTGAGAAATGGTGTAAGCCTCATGCAAAGCTGATTGAGCATTAGTTCGTATTGTACAGGAACTACATTAATACTGATTAATAGAGAAATAGAGATTCAGATAAGTATTGTACGGAACTACAGTGGTAGACTTTTACCAATGAGTCTAGGGGTGGCAACGAGCCGAGTTTTTCATGAATTATTCAAGTTCAGTTCAGCTCGGTTTCAACCGAGTTCAGGCTCACTGGCTCGATTATTAAACGAGCCGAGCTCGAGCCTATTAGAGCTTGACTCATGAGGCTCACGAGCTAAGCCGAGCTTATGAATTTTTTAAATAATAATAAAAGTATTTTATAATTATTAATTATTATAATTCTTAATTTTTTAAATATCAAATAAAAAATGTTTTTATATATAATTTTTTTATTTTTATAAAATATTTTTTTCTCAAAATCAAGCTCGAACTCAAGGTTCTGGCTCGAACCGAGCTCGAGCCTTGTAGAACAGTCTCGAGCCGAGCTCAAGCCTGATACTATTCGGCTCGAATCCACCCCTACCAATGACTAACCTTCAGATTACCTACTTTTAGTTTTTATACCCAAAATTATGATTCTAGAATCAATGGCGTGTCAAATACAATTAGAACATGAAAACTTGCCTTGATTGTATAAGTAATTAACGATAATGATTAATGAGATTATGAATGAAACAAATTTGAATTTGAAAAGTCTTACGGGAAAATAACACTTGAATTTTGATATGGGAAGAGTTTTGACCAATCAAAACCCACCCTTGAATTTTGATAAATAACACTTGATTGGCTACCACGTTTATGATTTCAGTTGATTGGTCAGAAGTTTTTCAGATATCATATTTTTTCCATATCATAGTGAAACCCCATACAAAATATAAGGTTTTGCACTCTACACATTTGTATCTATACTCTTTCTAAACAAAACCTTAGCCCTGGGTGTAGTGTAAAATCTTCAAATCGGACAAAGACTTGCAACCCTTATCTTGATTCACCCATGATCCTCTTATGGCTGAAGCTAAAGTATTCTATCATAGTATCTGATTTGCTCTTGAGTTGAGCTTTGTCCAATGTCCATTTCAAAGGTGACACTAACTGTTCAACTTTTGTTGGTGATTTTTCTTGAGCCACCAGGGTGTATCGACACCATTATCATTGAATGAAGAAGCTTTATATTGCTAAATTGCATCACTCAAGGTTCAAAATTTTGCAACCTACTACTAACACATATCGTTCCAACGAAGGTCCAGTACATAAAAACATGATATACCGTTCCTTTTTGTTTGTATCGGGCCCCTATGAATGATATAGGATTGATACATTACGTATTATAATCTCATGCCATCTTTCTCTAATAACTTTTATATTTAAGATTTGGGGTTCCACTATGATATGGAAAAGATATGATATATGAAAAATTTCTGACCAATCAACTGAAATCATAAACGTGGTAGCCAATCAAGTGTTATTTATCAAAATTCATGGGTGGGTTTTGATTGATCAAAACTCTTCCCATATCATATTTTTTCCACATCATAGATTTTCCCTTTTGTATGTATTTATACTGTATATATTTGTATTTGTATTCTTTTTAAATTGAACATAAGGCTTAGTTTGGAAAGAGTGCACATACAAATATATACAGCACAAAGCCTTGTGTTTTGTATTTCTAAACCTGCATTTGCATTAAGGCTCAATTTGGAAAAAGAGTACAAATGCAAATATGTATGGTGCAAAGCCTGTTTTTTGTATTTCTAAACCTGCATTTTCACTATGCACATTTGTATTACTCTTTCTAAACTGAGCCTGAAGGAAAGCCCAAAACAAGGCATAATCCATGAGAGGAGGAAAATAAGAAATGTTAAAGCTAAATCCTATGTCCCTAAAAAGAAGAATAACAAAAAATCAAGGGTAAATTACAAAGAGCCCCTGTACTTTGTTTTGCGACAAAGACCCCCCCCCCTTGTACTATAACCTTGAAATCCACTGTTACAGTATTTTTGAATCCCCATACTACCCTTGTAATTACTATTCGAAGAAAAATACTGTTCATTTTCCCCGATCTCACAACTCTCTCTCTCCCCAGATCTCTCTTCTTTCCCTTCCCCTTTCTCTCCTCCCTTTTCTTCTATCTGATATCAAGGAGAATAAGTTCTGCATAACGATCACTACAGGCTAGCAGTTGTACAGTAAAAACTACAGATTTGGATGTACTTTGAGTTTTTCCACATCCACACTCTGTAAATACTCAACAATGATAGCAACCAAATAAGCAGGGTCTCCAGCCATTTCTTCCTCAATGAGAGCAAATACAGAATAGTACATTTCATCAGATGAAATTGCCGCAAGAGGAACTTGTGACTCCACAGAAGCATTAGAGTCAAATCGACTGCTGCTTGGAATTTTAACCTCAGGTTCATATGTGAACAAATCCAGCCCACTAGTTTTTACAATTACAACATCGCAAATCCAAAAAATACCCAGTATGCTCTCAGACTCTAACCTACATCTATGAACAAATCCAGCCCACTAGTTTTTACAATTCCCCAGTTTCTCTGTTCTTGAACTGAATCTCATGATTTGATCGTTGAATCGCTAAAACCGTTACATCTAGAGAATAGCGAACAGAAAGCACAGGCCCTTCACCTATAGAATCACAGCTAGGAGAATCAGGTGGAGTAGGTGGAACAGTTTTCCATGCAAAAACCTGATCAGATGTTACTGACAGCAGCAATTTATTTCCACTGTCATAGAATAGACCTTTTGAACCAGGAATTGTATATCTTAGAGGAGTATGCTGAATATAAACATGAGATAGAGTCCCAGAACCACCTAAAGCAACGCTAGGCTGTTGTGAACTTGATGCTTTTGCAGACATATTTCAGTTTTCTTGTCTTTTAAGTTATAGTAGAATTTTGCTAGTCACTTAATTCTGCTTATGAACTTTAAGGTCACACAGAAGGGAAAATACCGAAGTAACAATAGCCAAGTAAGAAAATTTTGGAGGACTATATCATTCCATACAAAAGCCATTACACTTGTATCAAATTCTCAATTTAACACAATGTATGTTTTCTGTATGTTTCCAATTTTATTGTCTCTGAGCTTTATGACCAGCAATTGTGGAATTCAGTGGATGACAGTAGATTGGGAAAGGAGGAATTTGATCTCAAACTCTTCCTCTGAGCTTCTGCATGCATGATTTTAATGCATGAAACTCTTTCAAACACATGTCCTGTTCAACCTGTGGAGCCTTTTTTGCAACACAACTCCCGTATTCTTTCGCCTGAGATGCACAGCTTACTAAAATGCGCTTGAGGGTGGAACTGGTTTTTCGCTCTTTTATTTTCACTTTACTTGGAATTAAATCATTCGTCGATTCGGCCCATCAAGAACACAGTAAGAGAGATATCTGCTCTGTAAAATTCAGTCCTACTGACCGAAGTTCACAACTCGCGAGTGGGTATCGACGTATTATAGTTCAGGGGGGACCAACTGAGGTGCACATTAGCAGAGAGAAAGCAGAGGCACTACTGGGCGCTACTGGGCGCAGCGCGAAGACCGAGGGAAAAAGATGCGGAGGTGGAGAAAGCAGCGAGGAGACACGCGGAGCTGGAAGAGCGAGTGGCGCAACTTAGAGTGGAGGCGTAGGTGTGGCAAGCCGAGGTGAGACAGCAGGAGGCCACGGCTGTTCATTTCGGAGAGTTGGGAGAGAGAGAATAAGAGTGGGGAAAAGAAGAGAAGAAAGGAAAAACAATAGATTTTAAGAAAAAAGGGCAAAAATAAAAGAAATTAGAAAAAAAATTAGTGAGATATTTTAGTAATTTAATGCATTCCATCTGATTTAACGGTCAAGGGGGTCTTTGTCTCACCTTTATAGTACAGGGGGTCTTTGTTACAAAACAAAGTACTTGTCACAGACCCCATAGTACAGGGGGTCTTTGTATTTTACCTAAAAATCAATTTATAGAAAAAATAGTTGGTGCATGGAAAAAGAAGGGAAAAAAAGAGAAAAAAATATGGCTCAAATGGAGAAGGAAAATGAAGCAATGGTGGAATGAGAGAAGCTTATACCTTTGAGTTGA